AATTTTGAACTAATTCTAACAACCCTGCGTTTTTACTCCATTCCATCACGTTTAATGTTTGTCCCATTGTATTTTACATATTTTTGTTTTGCTCATCTTTTAACTATCTATGGCGGATATAGATGATTTTATGTAGCAGGGCTTGTACTGGCTGACTCGTTGGTAGAGCTGGGGAAACAGGCTGTGGGCCTCAGGGCAGGTGTCAGCCTCCTGGTCCATAGGGCTATGGCCTGGCGGGTCCTGATGGGCTGGTCTTTTCCTGACGTGGCTGACTGTAGTGTCAGGGTGTCCTGGAGCTGTTGTTGTCCTGCTGGTGGATGAGGTCTGACCTTGGAGAAGCTGGCTGAAGGGCTGACAGTTCCTGGAACTGGAATCAGGCTGCAGTTGGTGGGGCTGATGCCCATGGGGTTCCAGGACTCGTGCTGGCCCACTGGTGAGGACAACCAGGGACTAGGTTCTGACTGCAGCATACTGGGTCAGGTCTTGGGCCCTCTGGAGGGCAAGGATGGGTCCCGGAGGATACAGGATGACACTTCCCTGCTTGTGGGTGGGGTTGTGTTACCACTCCAATAACTGCTCGGTCTGTAGTTTGAGAACATTGTGCCCACCTTCCTGGGGGAAGGGTCATATCATGATCTTGGTGCTAATAAGATAGAGTGAGGATTTCAAAATTGTGCTTACTAGCACCAGAGCCTTTGTGATATGAGTTTCTTAACAGTGGCTGCTGCTAGCCGCTGGTCCCCAGAGTGAGTCCTCGTTGTCCTCTGCCTCTCCAAGATCAGCAAGTAGATCCAAGCCAAGATATTTTCAAGTTGCTGCTTTGGCCCTGGGTCACACGAGTGTGTGATGTTTTGTTTGCACCCTTCAGAGTGGAGTTTCTCTTTCCTAAAACTCCCTGGATCTCCCAAAAGTATGCCATGCTGGCGTTCAAAGCCAAACAATCTGGGGCGGGGAAGGCGGGGGGCGGGGGGGGAGGGCGGCTTGTCTTCCTAGTGCAGGACCCCCAGACTGGGGAATCCCATGTGAAACTCAGACCCCCTCCTTCCGTGGGGAGAGCTTCTGCAATTGTAGCGATTGCCACAATTTGTGGATCAACTCCCCAGGGTTATAGGTCTTGTTTATACTATGTCTCTGGTCCTCTTTCCTGTCTCACATTGGTTCCTTCTTTATATCTTTAGTTGTAAAGATCATGTATGCTAGTTTTCAAGTCATTCTCACCCATTTGTTGTTGTTCAGTTGCTAAGTCATGTCTGACTCTTTGCAGCCCCATGGACAGCAGGATGCCAGGCTTACCAGTCCTTCACCATCTTCTGGAGCTCGCTCAAATTCATGTCCATTGAGTCAGTGATGCCATCCAACTGTCTCATCTTCTGTTGCCCCCTTCTCCTCCTCAGTCTTTCCCAGCATCAGTGTCTTTTCCAGTGAGTCAGCTCTTCACATCAGGTGGCCAAAGTGTTGGAGCTTCATCTTCAACATCAGTCCTTCCAGTTAGTATTCAGGGTTCATTTCCTTTAGGATGGACTGGTCTGCTCTCCTTGCAATGTAAGGGATGCTCAGGAGTCTTACCGCAATTTGAAAGCATCAATTCATAGGTGCTCAACCTTTGAGGGCTCCTCTGTTGGCTCAGACTGTAAAGAATCTCCCTGCTAGAGACTAACACCTTCAACTTTCACTTCATGGCCTTCTTTGTGGTCAACTCTCACATCCATACAGGACTACTGGCAAAGTTTTGATTATTCAGGCCTTTGTTGGCAAAGTGATATCTCTGATTTTTAATACACTGCCTAGGTTTGTCATACCTTTCCTTCCAAGGAGCAAGCGTTTTTAATTTCATGGGTGCAATCACTATCCGCACTGATTTTGGAGCCCAAGAAAATAAAATCTGCCATTATTTGCTGAGAAGAGATGGGACCAGATGCCATGATCTTAGTTTTTTGAATGTTGAGTTTTAAACCAGCTTTTTCACTCTCCTCTTTCACACTTATCAAGAGACTCTCTGGTTCCTCTTCACTTTCTGCCATTATAGTGGTATCGCCTGCACATCTGAGGTTGTTGATATTTCTCCCAGCAATCTTGATTACAGCTTGTGATTCATCCAGCCAGACATTTCTCATGAGGTACTCTGCATAGAAATTAAATAAACAGTGTGACGAGTCTTTCCCATTCTGTTGCTTTCCTCCATTTCTTTGCATTGCTTGCTTATGAAAACTCTCGTATTTCTCCTTGCTATTCCCTGGAACTCTGCTTTCAGATGGATGATCTTTCCGTTTCTCCTTTGCCTTTTGCTTCTCTTCATTTCTCAGCTGTTTGTAAAGCCTCCTCAGACACTGACTTTACCTTCTTGCATTTCTTTTGCTTTGGAAAGGTTTTGGTCACCACCTCCTGTTCAATGTTTGGAACCTCCTTCCATACCTCTTCAGGACTCTATATACCAGATCTAATCTCTTTAATAAAAAATGACAGGGTGATCTTAGTTTGTTTCCAAGGCAAACCATTCAACATCATGGTAATCCCAATCTATGCCCCAACCACTAATGCTGAAGAAGCTGAACAATTCTATGAAGACCTACAAGACCTTCTAGAACCAACACCAAAAAAAAAAAAAAAAAAAAAAAACAGATGTCCTTGATTAGAATGCAAAAGTAGGAAGCCAAAAGATACCTGGAGTAAAAGGCAAGTTTAGCCTTGGAGTACAAAATGAAGCAGGGCAAAGGCTAACAGAGTTTTGCCAAGAGAACACACTGCTCATAGCAAACACCCTCTTCCAACAGCACAAGAGAGGATTCTACACATGGACATCACCAGATGGTAGAATCTGCCTGCAATGTGGGAGCCCTGGGTTCGATCCCTGTGTCAGGAAGATCCTCTGAGAAGGGAATGGCAACACACTCCAGTGTTCTTGACTGGAGAATCCCAAAGACAGAGGAGACTGGTGGGCTATAGTCCATGGGGTTGCAAAGAGTCGGACATGACTGAGTGACTAACACACATCCAGTTTTCCAAGAACCCTTTTTTAAGAGATTGCCTTTTCACCATTAAATTTTCTTAGTACCCTTGTGAACTGTCATTTGACCATATAAATGCAAATTTATTTCTGGGCTCTCTGGTTTTTTTTTAATTGAAATATAGCTGTTTTACAGTATTATATTATTTTCAGGTGTATAACAGTGATTTTTTTATTTTTAAAGATCATACTCCATTTAAAGCTATTACAAAATAATAGCTATATTTCCCTGTGCTTTACAATATATCCTGTTGTGTCTGGACTCTCTATTCTGTTGTATTAGTCTGTGTGTTTTTCCTCTATGATTATACCAGTTTTGTTTTGATTATTGTAGTTTTTTTAAGTAAGTTCTGAACTTAGAAAAACTGAGTCTTTTCAACTTTGCATTTCCTTATCAAGAGATTTTCTTTTCTATTCTACTCCCTTGAGATTCCATATAAATTACAGGTTTAGTTTGTCTATTTATGCAAAATGCATTTTCAGTATGATCAAAGGGTTGCATTTAATCTGTATATTGCTTTGTATGGTATTAACATCTTAAGAATATTGTCTTCCAGTTCATGACTGCTGGATTTGCTTTCATGTTTTTATGTCTTCTTCAGTTTCTTTAAGCAATGCTTTGTAGTTCAGTGTGCAAGTCTTTCACCTCTTTGGTTACTTTTATTCCTCTTGTATTTTATTTTTCTTGATGCTACTTTATTGGATTTTTTAAAAAATTTTCTTTTTGATTGTTGTGGTTCAGCTGGCAAAGAATCCACCTGCAATGTGGGAGACCTAGGTTCGATCCCTGGGTTGGGAAGATCCCCTGGAGAAGGGAAAGGCTACCTACTCCAGTATTCTGGCCTGGAGAATTCCATGGACTGTATAGTCCATGGGGTCGCAAAGAGTCGGACATGACTGAGTGACTTACACTTTCACTTTCACTTTTAGATTGTTCGTTGGTAGTGTATAGGAATGCAACTGATTTTTGTTGATTTTATAGCTTCCAACTTTGTTGAATTAATTTTTCTAATAGGTCTGTGCATATTTGTGCATTTGTATGTGTATATAATCTTTAGAGATTTCCACTTAAAAGATTATTTAATGTAGAACAAGATCATCTTTTTTCTTCTTCCCCAATTTGGATGCTTTTTATTGCTTTTTCTTGCCTAATTTCTCTGATTAGGCAAGAAAAAGAAATTAAAATATCATTTTATGTTGACTTAAAGAAGAAAATCAATCTTTTACTTCTGAGTATGGAGAAGGAAATAGCAACCCACTCCAGTACTCTTGCCTGGAAAAGCCCATGGATGGAGAAGCCTGGTAGGCTACAGTCCATGGGTTCGCAGAGTCGGATACGACTGAGCACCTTCACTTTCACTTTCACTACGGGTATTCCCATGTGGCTCAGAGGTAAAGAATGCAGGAGACCCGGGTTTGATCCCTGCGTCGGGAAGATCCCCTGGAGAAGGAAATGGCAACCCACTCCAGTATTCTTGCCTGGAGAATCCCATGGACCGAGGAACCTGGTGGGCAACAGTCTGTGGGGTCTCAAAGAGTCAGACATGACTGAGTGAGCAGAAAAGCACTATTGAGTATGCTGTTCGTTATGGGTTTTTCATAAATGATCTTTATTATTTTGAATTTCATCCTATTGCAGATAAACTTTTAAATGATATTTAAACCATCTTATGTCTTTTAATTTTAAGTAAAATCACATAAAATTCATAGCTAATTTTGGCATTATACTAATGATAAATTTACTTTCTGTACCACAAAATATTATCCTAGGAAATGTTAATGGATAGGAAGAAGAATGCTTTGACATTTGATATTAATTTATGATTTTATAACACTAGCTTTAAAGAGAAGCATTAATATAATTCATGTAGGGGAAATGCAATTAGGGATTTAATTTAAAAACAAATCAAGCCCCTTAAATTTATAGATCTTTTAACCTTTATAATTTTCTTCTTCTACCTTTTTTTCTTATACCCATTTTTTCTTCTTTTTTCAGCATATGGCTCTCCAACGGTTGAGTTAGAGCCTGACTCTTTTGAGGACTTCGGTATTATTTTGGTTATAAATAACCTTGCATTGTGAAACCCTAGTGTTCTACATGAAACTATTTCAATGATCTGTAATTAGAGAAGAAACATCATGTCACAAATTGGTGGTTATTGACATATATTGTTATTTTAATAATGCAAATCCCATGACCAATGTGAGTAGCATTATATGTAGACATGCAGATAACACAGTTTACAAGAAGTGTCCCAATTTAGGATTTCCAATGGGATGATGTAACTTTCTTAAATGCTATGGTCGTGTGTACATTAAAATGTATTGTTACCATTTGATAGAGTTATTTTGTGATGGAGATTTGTAGATAAACTTTCTTTCTGTTGCTATGTTGTGTACACAAGCCTCATGGACAAGTGAAATACTTTCTCTATAACAGGCAGGAGTTGCACACTTCATCTTTTCTCACATAATTCACACAATATATGTTTAAGAGCTCAGTGAAGTGTAGTGGTGACAGTTAAATGAAATATAAATTTTTCTTGATAAGAAAATGAAGAGAAATAGCTATTATTTTTCTTTACATTAGATTAGTTTAGTCAGGTTAATCTTTTTATAAAATGCATTTGAGACTTGTTATGTTTTCCCCTCTGAAAACCGTGGTCCGACTGCCACTGTGCCAAGTAAATTCAGGGCCATCTTCAGAGGCTACTCTTGCTGTTGTTCAGTCAGTCAGACATGTCCAACTCTTTGTGACCCCATGGACTGCAGCATGCCAGGCTTCCCTGTCCTTCACCATCTCCCGGAGTTTGCTCAAACTCACGTCCATTGAGTCGGTGATGCTATCCAAGTGTCTCATCCTCTGCCATCCCCTTCTTCCTGCCTTCAATCTTTCCCAGCATCAGGGTCTTTTCCAATAAGTTGGCACTTTTCATCAGGTGGCCAAAGTATTGGAGCTTCAGCTTCAGCATCAGTCCTTCCAGTGAAAATTCAGAGTTGATTTCCTTTGGATTGACTGGTTGGATCTCCTTGCAGTCCAAGGGACTCTCAAGAGTCTTCTCCAGCACCACAGTTTGAAGGCATCAAACTTAGGCACTCAGCCTTTTTATTGTCCAGCTCTCACATCCATACATGACTACTGGGAAAACCATAGCTTTGACTAGACAGACCTTTGTAGGCAAAGTAACGTCACTACTTTTTAATATGCTGTTTACCTTTGTCATTGATTTACTTTCAAAGAGCAAGTGTCTTTAACTTCATGGATGCAGTCACTGTCTACAGTGATTTTGGAGCCAAAAAAAAAAAAAAGTCTGTCACTGTTCCATTGTTTCCCCATCTATTTGCCATGAAGTGATGGGAACAGATGCCATGATCTTCATCCTTTGAATATTGAGTTTTAAGCAAGCTTTTTTCACTCTCTTCTTTCACCTTCATCAAAAGGCTCTTTTAGCTCCCCTTCGCTTTCTGCCATAAGGATGGTGTCATCTGCATGTCTTAGGTTGTTGATATTTCTCCCCACAATCCTGATTCCAGCTACTGCCTCATCCAGCCCGGCATTTCACATGATGTCCTCTGCATGTAAGTTAAATAAGCAGGGTGACAAGATACAGCCTTGACGTACTGCTTTCCCAATTTTGAACCAGTCCATTGTTTCATGTCTGGTTCTAACTATTGCTTCTTGACCTGCATACAGGTTTTGCAGGAGGCAGGTAAGGTGGTCTGGTATTCCCATCTCTTAAAGAATTTTCCACGATTTGTTGTGATCCACACAGTCAAAGGCTTGAGAGCAGTCAATGAAGCAGAAGTAGATGTTTTTTCCTATGATTTTTCTATGATCTAATGATGTTGGCAATTTGTTCTCTGGTTCCTCTGCCTTTCTCTAAATTCAGCTCGTACATCTGGAAGTTCTCAGTTCACATACTGTTGAAACCTGACTTGAAGGATTTTGAGCACTACTTTGCTAGCATGTGAAATGAGGACAATTGTGCGGTAGTTTGAGCATTCTTTGGCATTGCCTTGTTTTGGGATTGGAATGAAAACTGACCTTTTCCAGTCCTGTGGCCACTGCTGACTTTTCCAAATTTGCTGGTGTATTGAGTGCAGCACTTTAATAGAATCATCTTGTAGGACTTGAAATAGCTTAGCTGGAATTCCATCACCTCCACTAGCTTTGTTTGTAGTGATACTTCCTCAGGCCCACTTGACCCCAGGATGTCTGGCTCTAGGTCAGTGATCACACTACTGTGGTTTTCTGGGTCATTGGCATCTTTTTTATAGTTCTTCTGTGTATTCTTGCTACCTTTTCATATCTTCTGTTTCAGATGCTAATACTTCAAAGTATTTATGGAATAAAAAGAGCAGGACCTAACATGACATTTTATGGTCTGAGTTTTAGATAATACAAATAATGGTAGTTTAGAAGCAGAGGTGCTACCCACAGACATTTCTGAGAATTTGCATTTGGTGGTACATTTATTGTTCTCTGGATAGTTTTTTAAAAATGCATGTTTACATTTCTGTGTATAATTTTTATCCATGTGCCCTGATGTTTCATTTGCATTATTAGAGAAAATCTCCTTATAATTAGGATTGTATCTTAATTCAGGGGACAGGGAAACAAAGAGGGGGTGATGATAAGATAAAGCTATTGTTTGTGAAGATGGCAAAAAGCATATGTTTGATAGATTTATAAAACTTCATTATTATTTATTAAACAATCACACTTTGGGGGAAAAGTATGGAGAATTCCTAACAAAAACATAAGGAATAGACTTAATACTGAACTATAATTGGATAAAATGTTTTAAAACAATTTTCTTCTAATCTACTGAATTCTAATTGTTCCAGCTACCTTACTAAATAACCTAGGATGGTAGTTACAGCACACAGTGTTAAAATGTGAGGTTCTTGTTGAGAATTTCAAAAGGAATCTATTTTGAAAGGTTCTGTGGTCAGAATGACATGGATGCACTTGCAGTCATGCTAAAACTAGATTGATAATTTTTTTCTTTGCTGTAATTATAGCTGATCCACACATTAAGTTGCAACAGCTATTTGGAGACACCTATGTGCTCAATTATCATCAAAGTGTTTTTGTTTTTCCCAGATGCAGCAGTCATTGGTGTGATTATTCTTTCTGTGCGTAAGTATTCCAAACTTTGATACCACTTAAATCAAGATATCACTCTGAAGAAGTGCATTAATTTTTTAGTGATTTTTTTCAGTTTCTTTAGTTTTAATAGTGTTAAATTAAGTAAACCAGTTTAGGAAAACTTAAATTTTCATGTAATACATTATCTTTTTTATATATTCTTTTATATTCTATATGTCCACTTACTAACAAACCCTAAATAATAAATGTTGTTTCAAGATGCATAGCCATATGAGTTTACACCCCAAATATGCTATGGGTCATTTTTTAAATTAATCAAGGATTTCTCTGACTTACTGTGAACTATGTAAGTGATTCCAGAGAATTGGATTCAGATAGTGAAGAGACAAAACAGAATAAAAATGTGTACATGCTTAAATAAAATATCATTTTCTGACCATGGAAATCTAACCAACATTTATTTCTTCTGCTAGCTTTTGAATCTCGGCAGTGATTTTTCAATTACCTGTCCCTTGTTTCCTGGTTTCTTGTAGTTATTGCCGTTGGAATAGTTACTGCCTGCCTGTACAAATATTCTGCAGAGCGGACAGAGAGGGTAAATTAAAGCATGTTTCTTTAATTTACTGGTCCTTCTCACTCTTAACATACTTCTGTGAAGTTTTGTTTGTACTCTATTTTACATGCTGACTTAAAAAAAAAAATGTGTGTGCATGTGTATGCCATTTGGGTAGAATTTCTTCACTAAAAATATCTTTATCTGCTGTTAATATCAACTCAAGAAGAGTGACCATGATGGTCACTTCAGCTGTTATGACATAAGAAAAATTTCTGTGGGACTAGAGGTTTACGTGCTGCAGCACTAGATGTACCCTACTGCCTAGATTGGACAAATAGCCAAAGTGAAACTTAAAATGGTTAGCTGTGGAGGCTTGAAAACTGTAGTCACTGAAATTGTTATGGTGAAAATTTCATTTGTCTGTATAGCTTAGGTAGTTTTAGGAAGCTGCATAGGTGTCTAATTCAAATACCCTGTTTGATTTCTTTTCATTTAGAGTTGTTATTTATCCAGGCTAAACTGGGGGTTAAAAGCAACACTATTTGATTTCCCTCTGATGTTGTTTTAATTTACTAGGTAGCAGTAAAACTGATGGGGTTAAACTAAGTTGCTGAGTGGGTTAAGATTTACAAGACGTCTCATTAATATTGTCTATCTTTTTATATATAAATTAAAAAAAAGAAGGGGGACTTAGATTTTAAAAATATATATATAAATGCATGTCTTCTGGGGAGAATAGGGTTTTTTAATCAAGCTTAAATTGTAATGAAATAATTTACAACTTAACAAAAGACTTAGAGTAAATCATGGAGCATGGACTAAGATAAGGTGTTTTGAAATTCATGATTTTTAGTAATTTCCCCCTATAATGCTTTGGAAATAGCTTTCAAATCGAACTAATAATTTTAAGGCTTTTTGCAACTCATAGTTTGCTTGTGGTTTTAATATACACATTTTCATATTAATGAGTGAGCTTGGACTATGTAATAAAAGTAACTACTATCATTTAGAGCTCAAATTTTAAAAATGTTGTTTGGTAATCTTTTTAAAATACCCAAATGCCTTGATATGAATCTTAAATCTTATATTAATAGAACACATGATAGGCATATTTGATTTCTCTATCAGCAGTACTTTTTATGTATACACAGAAGTCTATGAGAAAATTAAAGTGATGATATATTTTTAAAGGTCCAAAAGATCTGTATAGAAATAACCTCTAAAGAAGCAAAGCAAAATAGCTTTCTGCTCCTTACTCCTTCATTGTTTAAAACAGCACTGCAGCAAAATGCTTAAAAGTTCTCAAACGTTAACCAAACTGTCTCTCATTGTAATGAGTTTTTTAAAGCCAAACAATTATCTGAGCATCCTACCACCAGTGCCAGTAGCGTTAGAGCTCTGAGACCCCATTTC